AGGAAAAATAAAAACACAGAAAACACGGGTGAGAGCGAGCATCCAGAGGTGGGCTAGCGTTGTAAGTAAGTGTGGGCTGAGTGAGGTGGGGCTGGTTGGAGATCTGCGTCGTCGGTTAGCAAACTTCGATTTCAGAAGTTCTCACTCGACCGACTCGGCTGCTGAGCCGAGTTACATTCCGGACCACGCTTAAGCCCCCCCGGCCTGCTCGAGGTCCTGACGATCCCGAGCTATAGGGACCGCGACGAGGGCAAGAAAAGTAACGGGTCGAGAACATTGCCCCCTGCCGAGGGCAGCCCGCCCACTAACAGAAATGAGGGGACAATTCATCCTTTTCCATCCTTTTGCTAGCGGGCGTATGAGACTTAGATTTCGCCCGAAATGTGCAGGCAAACGTCAGACTTGCTGGTCGCATGGTTAACTTGACCCTGCTGAGAATCACGTCAATGCTAGACTAGCGATCCTAGGGATGCAATTGGTACGAGGATACGTTGCGTAGAGCAATAGAGAGAACAAAAATTCAGCAGAGGCAACAGTTTGCCCCGAGAAGGGAATCCCGGAGGCGAGATCAAAGGATTCGGGAACGGGCAACAGTTTGCCTCGCGGAGAGAGCTCCGAAGGCATGGTCGGGCAATAATGGCGTGTCCAGGATACGCAGAGAGAAGAGGGCGAAAGCAAGGCGACGAAAAAGGTTAGTCGAGGCGGGGATCCAAGCATCACGTGATGATCGGCACCAAATATCGTGATCGCCGATCGTGCCTGTGAAGAAGAAGATGGGGGAATGGTGAATGTGATTGATTGAGCAGGGTAGTAAGCAGTACTTGCTGTCCCAGATTGAGGGGTATATGAGTGGAAAGTAATGCCCTTCGGTCTGAACTCTGTGTGTGCACTTTCCAGAGGGCATTAAACTTCAAAATATGGCCAGAAATGAAGCCTCACGCGTTCGCCCATTTGAACGACATTATCAGCATGGGAGCGACGAAAGTGTAGCACGAAGCCTATTTGAGGAAAGTATTCCGATTGCTGGGAGAGGCTAGCCTCAGGCTATACTAGGAAAAATGTCGTTTTCCCTTCAGAACAAACTAGTAAGCTTGGAATACGTGGGACTCCTGGTGAGCGGCGAGGGAATTCGCACGAATCCTGTGAAGTTGCTACCCATCCAGCGATTGACGCTGAACTGCAAATAGCTGTGGCGGTGGCTGGGAATGGCATCGTGGTATCGACGGCTCGTGCAGAACTTCGCATCGTGTAACCGATGACAACTCTCTAAAAGAAAGGGAAGGCACGGTCGTGGGGCGTGAAACAGCAAGCTGCTAAGAAACAACTCAAAGAGCGTCTGAAAATAGCTCCGATCCTCGCTAGGTCCGACTTCAACAGGAAGATGCAAGTTAAGATGTTACTTGGAGGGATGCTGGTTCGACGTCATCCCCGACCACATGGCAACCACCCCGAGGAAATGGCTCAGTTCGATGGAGACCGTCTGGAAGGATCGCTCGGTGGTCCCTGGAGTTCCAATATATGGTGCAATACCGGCGAGGACATCTGAACGAGGTAGTAGAGGCAGAGAATGCGGTCTGGCCGTGAAAGAGAAAACTTCTGCGGATGGACTAAATGCATGGACTAAATGCAGGTAAAACTTATTAGACCGGTCGGGCGATGTAGACGCGTAGGTGAGGGTACGTTGGGCCTTCCACTGCGCCGACTTCGTAGGCCCCCGACCACGGTCGAAGCACGGGAATACGATGTTTTTGGTATTCCACGACACGTTAAGTAAGCCGTTGGAATTGGTCCCCTTGAGGAGGGGAACAGCAGAACACCTACAGAGGCAGTTCCGAGAGCGAATACTCTTACGATTCGGAGTCCCTCGCACATTTTTGTGCAAGGTGCAGTTCACCAGCCGGACATTCAATGCTTTCCTGAGTTTCATCGGCGTAGAGGTGCAATGCACAGCATCGTCTCTGGGGAAAAGACAACCGTGCGGACTAACCGGACGGTAAGGAGGATGATAGTTCAGCTCATCGAAGAACACCAAAGTTTGTGGGACGATATATCACCAGAAGTGCTAGTCGTGAACATAAGCGTGGCCTGATTCAACTGGATTTTCCCCCGCCTTCTTAGTACAATGAGTATTTCTCCAGAAGAGAAGGCCGGGCTTCTGAGTTTAGTATTCAACACCCTCCGTCACAACTTGCAGCCTGCTTCCCGGGACAAGGGAGGCACAATAATTTACATCGGAGGGTAAGGCGACCAACTATCAAAGAGCGGATTTGGCTACGCCAACATCAGCTTACCAAGTCCGCTGATGAATTCGCAGCAAAAAACTGGCACGATCCCTACCGGGCTGTAAAGCTTGTGCCTCATTTCGGGTGCTCGCCCAGCTGAAGCACTATCACGACATCCAAAGATGCCCTAGCGAAGCCGGATTGCAGAGAGGCGAAAGTGAAAGATGCAGAATAGCTTACTAAGTATTGTTTTATTAACATATTAACTAGTTGCAAGAAGAGTCCTTTTGTAAGCTGCATCGTAGGGAGCATGAGCTTACAAGAAAAATTGTAATATAGGGAGTATGGATAGAACGGTTGTTTACGTAAGCTAATGAACTGTAATTATTAATACACCCATATGGAATGGACATCTTTAGCAAAAAGAGCGCGAACGAGATGGAGTAGAAGGTCGATGCCGGTGGGACACAAGTCCACTATGGAACCACAATCCGTCTGGCGCTCGGCGAAAATGAGACCCAAGATTTAGCAATTCGCCTCTGCCACTGGTCCCTAGGGCCATGAACATAATCTTGGTCAACTCGCCATCACCACTGGTCCGCTCCGGTGTGGAAGAATCTAGAGGAGCCATTCGAGGATATCGAGGGGAGGGAACGTGGCCTCGAAGAGCTGGTGGTCTAGGTGGAGCCCGCCCCATAAGATTAGCGAACGGGCCTCGCGATTATGTTCTGACGCCCTAAGGGTTGACGAAGTAATGTAGAAAAACTTATTTAAAAAAAAAAACATCAAGGAAAGACGATCACATGAATTAAAACAGTAAATCAATTACATTTGAAGTTTAGTTAAACGCAACATTAACTCTTAATATGAGTAGAGGAGGGGCAGACGAGTAAGTAGGCTTAAGATACAGCGGCGAAGGGAGCATGAGTGGGCTGTAAGACGGTGAAGCATCGAACATCGTTGTTCTGCTTTTATCACAAGAGAACACTTCCAGCTATAGTGAGTCTGGCAACTCTTGGCAGCTACTTCACAAGGATTCCATTTTTAAAATAGAATTTTTTGGGTCACCCAAAGTTATAGTGGGGTGGAATGGACTTCAATTTAAATCAGTTCTAGCTACTGTTACAATACAAAATACATATGAGCCAAGGCGTCATTAAGTATTGTTCACTATTGGACAAGACAAAAAAGTAAGAGGTTCTAGTCGGGAGCTCCCGACAAGTGGATACCCTGAACCCTCCTCTTCCAGCATCAAATGCATATATATATTCTATTTTTGAAGCTATATGGTGACTCTAGCTATTATTTATCAAAATTCCCCAATAAACAGGATGTCGATATCGATTTTGATCGATGGAAACGGAGTAAGTAAAATTTCAAGTCTCTAGCTCTTATAGTCTCTGAGATTCTTGCGTTCATACATTCGGTCGGACGGACAGACAGACGGACATGGCTAGATCGACTCGGCTGATGCTGATCAAGAATATATATACCTTATGGGGTTGGAGATGCTTTCTTTTGCCTGTTACATACATTTGGATTTTGTACAAATACAAAATACCCTTATATCCATTTTTAATGGGTTCAGGGTATAAAAACGAATCAGCGCTTTAGTGCCTAACTTGCTAACTTGGTTAGCTTAATTCAACAGTTTTTTTCAGAATACATTTCGGAATTCACAGACTTTGATTAGCTGGGAGTTGGAACATGGTTTGTAAGACAGAATACTACAAATAAATTTTTTAAAAAATTTATTGTTTTCTTTCTACTTATATGCGATGTTCATTATTATCTTCCATCTCTTTACATATAGTGGTTTATTAATTTCTTTGCATTTCAGAGGATGAGAAATGTTTTAGCTTCAGAAGATGACATACTCAGATACCCAGACTTCCATTTCAAACTAACGATGAATGCTTCTGCGTACAGCATTGGTGCGGTATTTTCGCAAGAGGCTAGTCCCTTTACTATGATTCCAAGAATATTAAAAGAAAGAAAGTGAAACCCACAATGCTACCGATAAAAGAACGTTAGGGGCCATGGTCTGGGCACTAGGGAAGGTGTACCTATACGGTACACGCGACATAAGCATTTACATGGAAAAAATATCAAACAGATATTGGAGGAACACTACCTTCCGAAAATGACAAAGCTTGCGACAGAAGTTGCTGCCAAATGCAAAATGTGCACTAAGGCTAAATTTGACAGGCATCCGAGGAAACGGGTTCTCGGAGAGACCCCAGCCCCATCCGGTGAAATGCTGTACATTGACTTCTTTTCAACAGACAGAAAACAGTTCCTGACGTGCATGGTAAAATTAAATTGGTGCAGCCACAACTATCATATATGATAGCAGACGTAAAAACCCCCATCGTCTTATGAATTTATTCCCCAAAAACCAATCATTTACTGCGATAATGAGGCATCATTAAACTCCGAGATAATCACCAGGTTATTAAAAAATAGTTGAGGAGTAGATGTAAATGCACCACCACTATAAAGTTCCTCAATCGGCCAGGTAGAACATAGCACCTTACTGGAAATCGCGAGATGCCTTAAGCTTGAGAAGTAGAGCGATGACACCAAATAATCCGACCTTAGAGTATAACCGAGTATCACTGCATTCGGCGACGGGCAAGAAATAGATCGATAATACACGTATCTTCCGACGGATTCAGAGAGGGGATCAGAAATATGACAGCCCGAACGGGCAGGATAGGGTAGTCAATGTAGGAGAAAAACATTTTTTTAAGTATATTAATATAATATTATACTTACAGTTTACAGTCACAGAACAGCTGTCTTCCAGTATTCCATAATCATTCATTATTTTACAACAGTAGTTTCCTTGGCTATTAACGGAAACGTCATTAAGAACTAATTTATAATTATTTCCATCAATTGATTGGTGACAATCTTTACGGTTTTCGTCGATTTCAATACCATCAATAAACCATTTTATATGCGGACGAGGGTAGGCATCTATTCCAACTACGAGTTCAACATTAGACTCGCCTTCCTGCACAGTAATATTGTGTAATTTTTTTGTTAGTTCCGGAGTACATTTCATAAGTAACTGTGTTTCGCTAGTTGCTGAACCGTGCTCGTTTACTGCCTTAACAGAATATTTTCCAGCATCTACTCGAGTGGCACCAGTAATTTTTAAAGTGTAAGTATTCCCGTCACAATCAATTTTATATTTTGTGTCGGTCAATTTTATTTCAGTATTATCGTGATACCAAGTTAGTTTTGGTTCGGGGAATGCATCTACTCGCACTGACATATTTACAGTTTCTTTTTCGCCGTGAATATACTCACTTTCCAAACATTTTACAAATATTGGTTTGGATTTAACTGTACAGTTCCAATACTCTGAAGTTTGACTCAGATCATTTGTGGCTTTAATAGAATAATGTCCAGATTGAGATAGCTTAACGTCAGAAATTTCTATCAAAACTTTTGTTGATCCTTTTCCAATTGAAGTAGATGAAATTTTTATATTACTTTCATCAGATACATCTTTTCCATTTTTGGTTATACTAATACTTGGTTGTGGGGATCCCTCAACATCTATTTCCATGCGTACTGTTTCACCAGCTAAGCAAGCGATATCCTCAATTTTTTTTATTTTGGGAGGAGCTGAAATGTTAAAAGAATTATTAAATGTATTGAAAATCGACAAGAAAATAATAATAATATGAAGAATATCACTGCAATCTGTCCAGATGCTATTTAAAATTCTACACTGAACTATAACCACATCCACAAAAACAAAGCAACGCACGGCTCTTGATGACCTAATGGCTTTCGCCTCTTACTTATCCCTGATTTTGACCAATTTCTTGGAAAAGCAAGTTACCGATGATCGGAGACAAAGCCGTGCTACGCGGGCACTAAGAGAATCCCCGTTCAAAATTTCAAAAGATCAGATATTTATTCATTTCATATATGCTATGTGTGGTCGGAGATGCCTCCTTCTGCCAGTTACTTCCATTTTCACAAAAACAATAAGTCCTTTTTACCCGTTTTTAAAAGGTACGTAGTATCAAAATAAAAATATTAATACGTAAGCTGTAAGCTGTAAGCTTTTGGGCATTCTCAGATACTATAATTATATAATTAAGTTAAATACGCTTGGTTACTTTCATAGATTCTGGGATCTGGGCAGCCAAATTACTTAATATAACACTAAAGCCTGCTCACATACAAAATCTGCAGAACTTTTAAAAATGACTATAGTTGCTCATATATATATATATAATTTGCTTGCATTCAATGCATTCTATTGAATGCAAGCAAATTATACCAATTTGTACCAAATATATCTGGTAATTTTGGCACTTGAGTTAAATAATTCTCGTAACCCAATATTGCAGTAATGACTCAATAAGCTGACAAGTGCAAGTTTCCCTTGCTTGAGCGCGACACTTATTTTTTCTTAGTAGACTTCTCCTTATTTACGTTTGATGCAATTATAGGGCTCGACCTGCTTAAGCAGGTGGGAGCGGTTTTATGCCTACAAAAATGTATTTTAAAATTTGGTGCGACTTCGGAAGCGTTAAAGTACTATAAATGTGCAAACATAAACCACATAAGGATCAAAGAGATCGAGGCACCACCTGGGATGAAGGCAGATTTCTTGCAAGTACTTCACCGAAACAGCAGGGCATTCACGAACTCTAACGAGGCGCTGCCTTACAACACGGCTGTTGTGGCCACAATCCGTACGACCGACGAAAGTGTGATCTACTCAAAACTATACCCCTACCCTAGGGGTGTATAGGATTTTGTCATTACGAATGTCAACGAATTTCTTAAAAACAGCATAATCAGGAAGTCGAAATAGCCATACAATAATCCGTTCTGGGTGGTCGATAAGAAGGGCACAGTTAAGTAATTAAAATAAACGTCTAATGATAGACATTAGGAAACAACCTCATTACTATTGCCGACAAATACCCAATGCCAAGTATCGCAATGAAACTGGCAAGTCCGGGTAGAGCCAAATATTTAACGACGCTCGACCTGGAATCAGGTTATCACCAGATTTTTCTGGCAGAGCAAGACCGTGAGAGGAGGGCCTTATCGATATATGGAGGAAAGTACGAGTTTTGTCGATATCCCTTTGGTTTGAAGAATGCAGCGAGAATTTTTCAGAGTCCATAGATAATGTTCTGCGGGAACAAATTGGAAAATCTGTCTACGGAGCAGTTCTGTCACAGAATTGCCGCGCAATAACAATGATATCCCGGACCATAAAAGATAGTAAAGCAAACTACGCTACTAACGAGCGAGAGTTGTTTGCCATCGTTTGGATATTAAGCTAACTACGACACTTTCCTTACGGGGCTAAAGATATAAACATTTTCACTGACCACCAGCTTCTTACGTTCTCGGTATCGGAGAAATCATCACTAAGGAACACAATCGAGCCCATAGGGTATAGTTGACACGGTCGACCTCATCCTGCAGGCGACTATCGAATATAACAATTCCAGTCACTCAGTGGTCGAGAAAAAGCCTACGAACATATTGCTTAACTCTCTACCGGAATCTACCCGCGAGGTTAGAGACAAGATAGAAAGGGCTCAAATTCAGCAGAACGCCCGGGCTAACCAATGGCGTCAGAACAGAGTCTTTGAAGTAGGTAGAAAGATCCTGGTTTAGACGAGCCGCAAACTAGGCAACAAGATTTCGCCCTTGTGCATTGAAAAAAATGTTGAAGTGGACTTGGGGACAACGGTCCTCATTGAGGGGAGGGTGGTCCACAAGGACAACCTCCGTTAAATTTAAAGCACAATTTTTCGTTATCGTTTTCATAACAGTAGTTTTAACATTTTAGAATTACGTTCACCATACTTTCAATCATGTCAATACTAATTATGCACGGGGACATCTTACTATAGGACAACTACGGATACTTACGTCACACTACCAACCTCACGGAATACGAGACAATGACTGAAGAAACTATGAAACTAACGAAGCTAACTTTCGGCATTCCCATATGATGAAATTGCTGGAAGTTAATACAGGACACGTACTGGACATGTTGTCCGCTCTCGATGTGCAAAATCATAAGGTAAGAAGCCTCGACTTCTTGGGAACAGCCCTTAAGGTTGTAGCAGGCTCTCCGGACGCAAACGACGTTAAGAGAGTAGAATTAAAGCAGACGCAACTGGTCACTGCAAGCAATAGGCAGACAAGAAAAGATTAACCAACTGACCGACATTGTTAAGTAAATTCTAAATTCCTCTAAAGATAAGCAGGCCGACACGGGTCACCTTTTTAAAACCCTTAGCACACGCAACAGAATGATGATAACAAAAATAGGTAACTTTAATCTTAGAAAAAATACGTGTAATAAATCCAACAATAATTGATCACTCTAATTTACTAAATATTCTTACTGACCAAGTCACAGGTACCCCCATAACAGACATTTTGAAAGTATCTAATATTAAAGTAGAGCATAAAAACAATGTAGTAGCTTTCATAATTCAGTTCCCTAAAATAAACAAGCAATGCAGGAAGAATACAACGGTCCCGTACTTCAACTTCACGACAATTTAATGGCCAGATTTTAGCTGCAGCAAATTGTGCACAAACAGCAAATGCCACGTTCTGCAAGCGGTTCGAGAGCAACAACTACGCGCACGGCCTTCATGCAGAAGGCATGGCTCATTGCCAAACGCAGCCGAGTCACCTCGAACCTGTCACCATAGTGGGCGACGGCATTATCATCATAAACGATCGCAGCACAATAATTAGCTATGACGACTGCGCCGCAATGAAAGTAGAAGGGACAGGCCTTGTCACTTTCACGTCCCATGCCATTGTGGATGGCACGCGATATTTTGATCGCATGAGAGGGAAAATCGGTTACCGGCAGTAGCGGCATCCCCATTACTAAACATCAGTGATCACGACACGGTGCTCAGCCTTCCCACATTCATCGTCTGTGTGAGGACAGCCTTAACTACATCAAAGAGGTTAGCGACAGTGTCGCAGTCTGAAACATATCGGCAATTTCCCTCAGCATAATGTTGTTAGTTTCTGCTGTGGGAGCTGGGTTCTACTGGCTTCATCAGCTGGTGATCAAACGCCGCGAAATCTCGCAGATACTGGAAAACTTGAACGCGACCGAGGACGGTCGGTCTTCGAGAGGGGAAGTAGTTAACCACTGACTATTGGTATTTGCTGACCCAGCGTTATGGGGAAACCAATGACCAGAGTCATAATCCCGACGTATATGTCGCAACTATGTTTCCGGCCGCGAAGGTCATCCGACACCACACACGAGATGCTTACGCTGTACTTTTGGGGGCAGCGACGGTGACGCTGCGACAGCAACGGCGGCTCCGTGGCAGCGATGTCGACATAGGCTAGCTTTGCTTATTATAACGAAAATTTTATTTTTTCAGTCTAAGTTTGGATATCAATACAGCGAAGCGTACCGCTCCTTCCAAATGATCAAAACATATAAAACTGCCTTTATAAATGCCCTTATTTATACACATGTCTTTCAGTTTTCCAGAAATTTAAGGAAAATTGAAAGCTCGTTATTATTGAGTATGGCGAGGATATCTCGAGACATATAAAATGTTTACCAGCAAAAGCTCAGATTACAAAAGGTTTTTTGCTACAGACCCTTATGACTTAATACCGATCAAGATAATATACACAGTATTTGATCAAAGTGTTTCTACTTCAAAAAATTTCTACATTTTTAAAGTTTTTAGTGGTGAAGCGGCGGCCGGTGCTTTGGTGTCCGGCCGTGGGAGCATCATGATATTCCCGCTGCACCTTTGTCGTTGATCACTGGCCACACACAGTTTCCAGAGAATGTGATCCTCGTCGCCCGTCTGGTGGCGCAAATGTCTATATAGTTCCCCAGTTTTCTCTACATAGTCAGAAAGCTTGACCGGCTCTTTGGCGATTCTGGCACGCGTATTCCCGACCCATTTTCAGAAAGACTCGGCCACCACATCAACCACGACGTTGAGCTTTCCTCGTCAGTAGTGGACATCAAACTGGACCACAAGCTCGCCAGGCACTCCAGCCTTCAACAACTTCCGACTCGAGTATGCCATCCCTCGCTCCTGCCTTTCTATCGGGTGCGTCAGCACTGTATCGAGACCATATTTAAGTATGCAAGACGAATCTCGTAGAAAAGTCCAGAGAAGCCAACACAGGGGCAGTCGTCAAGCTGTCCTTCGATTGACGCAACGCCTCCTCCTGTTCCTCAACCCATGACCATTTCCAGATTACCTTCGAGTCAGTCCACGGCGACGGTAGCCTTTAGTTAACAAGACAGACGTTCACTCTACATGTGTAAACACTTGGAAAATACGTGGCGCGCATCCAGGCAGCAGAGTCTGCCTTCAGCGCTGAATGGACATTTAACAATTACCCACTCTAACGACTAATACAATAAAATTAACAATGCTTATCTAATATAAATATTACAGGGATATATGGGTCGGCTACCTTAGTAGCCGCCTTTAACTTTAATGGGGATTTTTATTTTTCGCATATATTTTCTCATTTATTAACTGTGAGCACAAAATATTTTCAATAGATTTATCTCGCGCAATCTCAAAATTTGTCTACTCTAGAATTACTTTATTCTCTAAATA